GACTGCTCTTTTGCCTCAAGAGAGACTGGCTTAAGCAAATCTAGCTTTAGGTCATTTGCCAGCGAGGGCTAAGGAGCACGAGCCCACCGGTTTCGGCATGGCACGCTGAAAGGAGCACACGGCCTAGCGGCTGCTCCCTTGTTTCTGCTCACGGCCAGCTCTGCGCAGCCAGCGTGGGACAAAGAGAGGGCTTTCAGCCTTCTGTAAATAGCCTTTTGTCCAAAGGGAGGAGGTGGAGCGAGGAATGGCAGCGTCTTGCCAGCTCGCCTGGCTGCTTTAAGGAGAGATGTTAGGATTTCTTCATTTGCTGCTGCTGGGGCAAGGGTGCTGTTCATGTGGGTCTGCTGGAGGGACGCATTCCTCGGGAAGTTTAGCATCAAACTGCTATTATTCAGCTGGATGAAAGCTTGAGGACCTTCAGAAGGGGAGAAACGTCCAGATCACTGTTTTTTTGGTTTATAAATGATATGACGAAAATAAAATGCTAAGGTAAGTATAAGTTTGTAGAATTGCAGGGGCTCCATGTGTGTGTGTGTGTATGTGTGTGTATGTGTGTGCTTGCGCATGCATACGTGTGTGTGTCCATCCATGTCCTTAGAAAGCGATGCCCCTGTAAGTCACCTCTGGCCCAGAATCACTTTTTTCCTGGTGTAAACAAAATGGTAAGAGGTGAACCTTTGCGTCTAGTGGTCTTTGAACCCATGTGTTCAGGTGAGGTGGTAGTTATGTAACACATGGAGCGTTTACACGATTTTGGACACTGAGCTCTCATCACCCCATGCAGAGTGAGTGCTGGAAGGTCTTTAGAAGCGACCTGCCCTCACAGTTCCTAACCTGGGGTGGGCTGAGCAGGAATTGTGAACCCCCTGTGCCTAGGAGGGAGTGGTCTCCCTTGGTGGAGACGGTCAGCAGCCTCGCAGAGGTTAAGCATTGTTCATGTAGGGGAAGAAGCATGAATTTAGAGTCAGGTGATGTCGAGTCTTGAGAAATACCTGGCGGAAGACTCTGACTTTTCCAGCCTCAGTTTCCTCCTCCTTGCTTTGTACCGTGAAGTTCAGGTGAGACACGGGATGTGAGGGCCTTTCCCCAACACTGCATCAGCACTAACTGTGTTCCTGGCTACTCTTCCCAAAGGTTAGGCAGACAGGTACCAGATTTCTGTTTTCTGACAGCCATGCCGTCCACTTCCCATTGCCTTGCCCCGTACAGCTACATCCACCCAGGCCTGCTTAAAGGCCTCCGCCACTGAGGGCCTTTGGGGGCTCATGCCAGCTTTCCCTGACCATTGTTATGCTCCCTGTCATTCTGTGGTTTTAGACCCCAGCTTTACAGAAAACTCAGGATACCCAGCTGAGCAAACCCGCTTTTGCAGGTGTAGAGGGAAGAACATGCATGCGGAGCTGTCAAGAAGGAGAAGCCTGCTGCCAGGAGTCTTGTTTGTTTCTGCAAGAAATACTGGCTGCTTAAGCTCTTAAGCCAATTGAATCGTATTCTTAGCAAACAGCAATGTGATTATATGCCTGGGCTATAAACTTTCTGAGATGCTGCTGTGGTAATTTGCTTTTGAAAGAATTAAAACGATATTCCAACTAGAACTCCATTGGAATAGAAATTTTTTAAGAAATCGAAGTTTTAACTATTTACTGGCCAGTACAGGAGCTGATACTTCTTAGAGACCTGTTGGGCTGGCTTAAGCTGTGGTGTTTATGCTCACCTACTTTGTTTAAAGGCTATTTATTGGGGCTGATTTTCCTTGAATGTAGCTCCACCTCCATTGCTAAATACCGCAAGTGCCTTGTCCTTCGCAGCGGTTAAGCGAAAGGGAAAAGATGCATGATGCTCTCTCTTCACATTAAGGAGCTGTTCTTTACGTGGGTCTAAACAAGGTATTGTCTTAGGTTGTTGCATAGTCTCTAGATTTCCCACGGGCGGCAGGGACTGATTTGTTCACTGAAGTTGATTTGCAGCTTGTTACCTGGCTGCCAGCTAAGATGCATGAATTAACCTGGTATAGCTTGTCATTATTATCCACTGAAGGTAAGAATTTAGCTGGATTTAAACTCCTAGCATTACAAAAATTAGTATCTAATAAAATGCTCTTGCAGGGGTGCTACTAAACCAGTAACTTTCTGGAGGTTTTTTTTTTTTTCAGTGTTCTTTCCCAGACTTATGTCTAGAAACAGATTTATTTCTTAGTATGATGTCTACAGCTTGGCTATTGCTGATGGTCAAAACAGGAAAATTAATCACTTATTTATGTCTATTTATGTGGGAGTTATTTAATATTTTCACATGGGGATGTGATTCTGTTGAACAGCCCCATAAATTCAGACGCTCTAAGTTTCATGGAAATGACTTCAGGGACTTTGGCGGAGAAGGGCGGAGGGCAGGGTTGCGTGTTGAGGGGTGGGTAGTGCCAGTTCGGACCTGGAGCGCTGGGGTATGGTGAAGACAGCTAAAAGGTGGAAGGATGTGAGGGGAAGGCAGCCTTGCACAGTCTGTGCGTGAGGTCGCTTTGCATTTGTGGAGTTGAATACTGTTCATAAAATCTGGCTGCTCCGTGCCAGCAGGGCTGGACTCAGTTTGTCTGCTTGTCTTCAAAGTCTCCCACGTATCTCTTCCCCTGAGAGGCCTGATTGCTACACCTCCCTGGAAGTTAACACTTACCACTTAATGCCTACAGATACTACTTGCCTAATTTTGTATCTACCCCCCTGAGAGCCTAGCCAGCTTATTAGCACAGTCTTCCTGGCTCCTATCTCCATGCCTGGCACAACTAGGTGCTCAAATATGTTAAATGACTGTGGCAGCTCAATTCCTACAAATTTATCTAGCATAAGTCTGCTGTGAGCGTGCTACTGACGATCTGTTTCTTTCTTGGTCTGTCTCATGTTGGTTCCACAGACCACCCGACATCTGATCATTCATTTCACTGGTTTTTAAAAATATGCCCGTTTTTCTCTTCTTATTGGGAAGCTGAGCAGAGAGAAACAGTGTCTGTTTGCAGTCCTGGCACTGGCAGTGACACTAGCCAATGCCTGCCCCTCCCATGGGTGGGGCAGTGGGGTGACTGTCTCCCAGCTCCTCATTGGCCTCTCCTCTCCCTTCTGTTCTCCTGGGAAGTCAAGTATGGATTTTGTCTTCTAGTTACCTTTAGCCTAGTGGGCAGGAACGCAGGCCTCGGCATGTGACATGCCCTAGGAGACCTTGGCGGGGCTGTGTGCTTCCAGCCCCTGCCGCACCCCCACCCCCACCGCCTTTTGTGTCTCTGCAGTGGTGTGTCACCTACAGTCAGCTCTTGGTGGCACAGATGGTGAGTGGCTTTGTAAATGCTGGTGCTTTTGCTCCAGCATTGTGGCCTGAAGGAATCTGCTTATCTATCTGTTCCTTTTCTTATCTGTCCTGTGAAATCTCTAAAATCCCTCTAAAATGTGTGTATGTGGGTTGGGGGTGTGCGTGTGTGTGTGCACACGTCGTACACACACCCAAACAGAGCTTCTGTGGCACAAGATTGCATGAGCTGAGCAAATACATTCTACTGGCTCCCGTGGTATTGACGTCCAGTAAAGACACTTGGTTTTTTATGCTACTCCAAAAAAGAATATATAATAGTATAGATTGAAATTTAAAGAGAACTTCTATATTTGGGGAAAAAAAGATTATTTTCAGTTTTGTGATAGCTCTTTAAAAGAACATATAATAAGTAGCTCACAGATGCCATCTGAACTTGGAGCTAAAATGTTAACACTTGGTACATTACCAGGAGCTTCTTGAGGGAAGTCTTTCAGAGCAGTTACCATTATTTTCTTTTCTACTTCTAAAAGTACTTTATAGAAGTTACTCAACAATAATTTTCTAATTAGCATTATTCACATTTATCATGTGTGTGTTTTTTATACTAATGTATATATGAATTGTCTATCACATTCCATTTGCAGCTTTACTATGCATTGCATTGTTCATCTCATCTTATTCTGTGTGTTTTGGCTTTTTAATTTTGATTGTAAACCCCTTGTAGTTGAGCATTATTTTTCATTTCCCCTGTACCTTAATGTTTGCTGGGGGTACTAAGCACAGATTATTTGTAGAGGAAATAATAATGATACTTAGCATTTGCTGAGCACCTTCTGGTGCCTTGTACCATTCTAAGCGCTTTATGGGAATCCGTTAGTCATTATAAAAGCCCTACGAGATAGGTACTATTTTCATCTCCATTTAAAGATGAGGAAACTGAGGCACATAGAGGTGAAGTAATTTGCCCCAAGTGGTTGCGTTAATAAGCTGGGGAGGCAGGATTTGGCTCTAGAATCTGGGCTCTTAAATACTGTTCTATATTTCCTCCCCAGTACTATTTTGTAATCTCTCTCTAGATGTTTGGTGGTTGGTTTAAAGTTTATGCATACCAATTCAGTATTTTAGCTATAACAACTTGGGGAATATGCAAGAAATTATTTCATCAGAGTAGCCCCCTGCAGCCTCCCCTGCATTTATGTTGCTGCTTGTATGGAGCCGGTGGGAGACACACTGAAGTGAAGCTCGGTCTGTTTTTCCAGGTAGGGAGCTTGCACTGAGGTTTGTTGGAGGAAATGGAAACCGATGGCCCTTGGGTGCTTTGGGCTTCTTTATGCCTCTCCCTTCTCTCCCCATGAGCCATGCAAATGAGCATTGAGTTGTGTTTGATTAGGGGGAAGAGAACAGAGATGCAGTATCAGAGAAGAAAATGGTAACTTGTCCCACTTCTTTAGCATTTATGGCAAGAACTCTTCATGAGTTAAATCTTTTGAATGTGGTTAATGCAAGCTTTCACTTGAGATAGAAGTGAAAATAATTTCTAAAGTGTTTTTAAAAAAATGCAAGTTGGCAGCCAGGACAAGACCTGGACCGTTAGACTGTGGGGTTAATGCCTTGATCGCTGAGCCAGCCATTAAGTGCTGGTCTGGGAATTCTGGAGAAGAGTCCTTCCTCCCTGGAATGACCGTGACATTTTTCTCTCCTGACAGAATTCAGCTTAGGGAACCACCAGCACAGGACCATGCAAGCCCACGAGCTGTTCCGGTATTTCCGGATGCCAGAGCTGGTTGACTTCCGACAGTACGTTCGCAGTCTTCCTACCAACACGCTCATGGGCTTCGGAGCCTTTGCAGCGCTCACCACTTTCTGGTACGCCACGAGGCCCAAGGCCCTGAAGCCGCCATGTGACCTCTCCATGCAGTCAGTGGAGGTGGCGGTAAGTGGGGGAGCCCACCTGCCCTCTGGGTTTTCTCTGCATTTCCCCAAATTAGCCAAGTTCCATCAAATGTGATATTGATCAAGATCACAACCACAATTTGCTTGTGATGGCACTTGGTAAGCCAACATGTGCTCAACAAATTTGTCGCTGGTAATAAATGGAGGTGGAGGCCAAAATATAGGGCAGAAGGACAATGAGGTAGTGTTGGCTGTGGGTCCGCCCAGTCACACAGAGGCTTATTCGACAAACCACGTGGAGCTCCTCCCTGGGCCTGGCACTGTGGTAGCCTGGAGGATTCGGGCAGGGGAAAGGACAGGACAGAGAGGAGGGCTGTCGAACAAATGTTACAGCTACTTAGATCACATCCTCCAGACATTAAAAGGGACTCTGGGAGTTCAGATAGGATAAGGCTAGACTAAAAACTTGCCAGAATGACATGGCTGCAGAATTTAACATCAGACATGAAGAATGCAGGACATCTAAGAGTTGTCTCAGGTTGAGTTGTTGAGCAGGAGAACGTGGTCTATGTAACTTGTGTTGTACATAACTAAAGGTCGTGTCGTGAAAATTAAATCAGAGTAAATGTTCCTTATTTAGGGCTTAATGGGTGAGGTGCCATAGAGAATCTAAAGGCCCTTTCAAAAAGATTCTTAGTGTTCCTGCTCTGACCTTCCTCCCTTCTGAGAAAGGTTATAAAAAACAAAACAAAAATGAACAGACAAAGCAGAAACAGACTCATAAATACAGAGAACAAACTGGTGGTTGCCAGACAGGATTAGATCGGAGGACAAGCAAATTCGGTGAAAGGGATCAAGAGGTACAAACCTTCAGTTATAAGAGAAGTCTCAGGGATGAAGGTCCAGCATGCCGAGTGACATCGATCATAGTGGAATGACTTTGATGGTGACAGATGGTAACTGCACTTACTGTGGTGAGTATTTCATAATGTATACAAATGTCAAATCGCTCTGTTATACACCTGAAACTAATCTAATATTATGTCAGCTATATTTCAAGTGGAAAAAAAAAGGTTCATAAAAAATGTGAGGGATTCAAAAGATGAACGCAAGTTCTCTGGTGCTTTAACTCTTCACCCACTTTCTGCTTTGTCATTTCTTGCTTACCCTTTCCTAAGTCAGAATTAATTTTCAGAATTTATTACTTGTAACATATATAACACAGAATGCGGTGAAATGCAGAATCCCTTTATTATTTATTGCTTTTAGATGTGGGTGAAAGGTCTTCCCCGTGCTCCAGGGCCGAGGGCCTCGAGGAGGAGACTGTGTCCTTCCCAGCAAAGCCCCGGCCTGATGAAGACCTTTCTGTTGTTTAGAGGGTGTTAGGTCTTTGTTCCTTTTTGGACAATTTCTTGGATTCCTTAATGTGAAACTCTTAAAATACATAAAGGGTATGTCAGTCTAATTCATGCCAAAATGTAAAAATAGAATGAACAAACTTCTGCTGAGAAGAGTTGGCTTAATACTTTGCTGAGAAGGTAAAGACGTCAGTATTTCACCTCAGCTCATCACATACCAGTAGTGAGTAGAACTTATTTTTTTCCAATAATACATATGAGGTTTTGGGCATTTCTTCTCTTCTGGCAGAGGACTTGATGTCTCATAGTAGCATCACCATCTCTATGAAAAAAGTACCTGGCAAGTACAGATGTTAGATACTGATAATTTAGCAATAACTAAAAAAAAAGGCTTTATTCTTCATATATGAAAAATTTTGGAGGCACTTACAACGTGATTTTTAAGTTCCAGCTTAGCACAAAGCCACTGAGACATGTTAAAATAATCACACATGTTCTCTGTAGAACAATTTAAAACTACAGATAAGCAGAAAGAATTAAAACCTGTATATAGGCTTCCTGATTTTTCTCTTTGCTTATAGAAATAGATTTGGCTCTGAGTTTTAGAATTTGTAGGTCTTAGGAGTAGATACAAAATTTGTTTTGCATTTCTAAAAAAGAGCTTAAAATACTGAATTTACGGTTAGCTTTGGAGTTACAGGGCTTGTTAGTTATCAATGCTTTAAGTAGCTAACATTGTCCTACGGACTTCTGTGGCAGAAAGAGGAACTTCATTCATTTCATTAAGTATTAATCAGGAGCTTGTATATCTGGCACTGTTGTAGGAGCTGATTGCCAAAGTAAAATATTGTTTCTGCCTTGAAAGCAAGTAAGCATTAGGTGCCAGCCCCGACCCTGTGCCCCTCCTATTTCACATATGCAGATTTTCACCAGGGTCTCCCTGCAAACTTCCCACAGATGCTAGAATGTGAGGAGTCTGCATTTTCTGTCTGGCTGACGCATCACCGTCCACACTGGCCATTTCCCAGCTGCCCTTTTGTAAAGCAGCAGCACATAGGTTCTCGAGAAGCTACAGCTTCCAAATCTTTCTTTTAAAATGTAAAGGGCGTTGCCACTCATGCTGGAGGCTGTGTAGGGAAGGCGATGAGGACATAGGCTGCAGAATGGGGCAGAGAAGCTGGAGTTAGGGACAGAAACCGGCCTGTTTCTTCAGTTTGGAGCCTGGGCTAAGCAGGACTGTGGGTCCTTGTCCCCAGACCTGCAGCTGTGCTGACCAGCCTGCCTCAGTGACTGAAGGCCTGCCTCTCCCTGGGAAGAACTTCCACCTGGCAAAGGGTTTCCTGCTGTTCTGTAAGTCTGAGCAGTGGTTGGAAGCAAGAATGGGCACACATACATGTGTGCGTGTGTTTAATCGCAAGCAGTGTGCAAAGTTTTCCAGTTTTGGCTTGTCCCAGTCTGTTCCCTGAGACTGAGACCCCCATGTCTCTTGGGAAGATGGTCTTCACCGGAGTATCTGGAAAGCCTCTGGGATTGGTCAGGGCCCAGACCATGGTGGTTGCAATCAGGGACAGTGGAAAGCATGTTGGAGCCCGAAGGGACCAGAGAGGCAGTGAGATGCTGCAGAGCCTGGACCTGGCTCCTGCTTAGACAGGCAACCATGGGCAAGTTCGCCTGACTCTTCTGATTGCTTTTCTGATTCCTTCCCATTCCTCATCTGGAAAACAGAAGTGGCATACTGTCCTGCCTCAGTAGTGTTAGGAGACCAGCACACGTGCACATGGAGTGTCCACGCGGCTGTGATGATACACGTTGGCTTTCTTCTTCTGCGAGGGCCTTCTCTTTTCCCCTCGTGTCTGATGCATGAATAAACCCCTGAGTCCCCAGCAGGGCAGCTCTGTCATACAGAGAGGGGAGAGCGAGACTGCTCATGCTGCCTTCAGTATGGGAGTGGAAGTCATGCGTGATAGCTGGGGCTCTGGGCGGGGAGGATAAATAAGGGTAATGAGGACAATTGGAAATGAACCTGTTAGATCAGCTTCAGGAGTCAGTGGCTAAGAGCTTCTGGCCCAGGAGCCGGCACTTCTGAAGGTGGATGAGTAGGCAGACGAGTCTGAGGGCAGTGATGGAAATGGAAGGCGGGAGGGCCAGGTAGGGAAGAAGGTCAGACTCCGCACGCAGGTTGAGGTGTGGGACCAGATTCTGTCAGGGAGTGGGGCGCAGGACTGTCAACACTTGGGCTACCGCAGCAAACCCTGCTTTCTGCGGAGTGTCTGCCTTTCCCCAAACTCTGTCCCAGTCCAGCTCAGACATAGATGGGGTCCAAGCAGAACCTGGTTCTGATGGGGCTGTGGGCCCACCCACCAGAGTTTAAGGGATTCAGCAACAAAGCATTAGGAAGTATAGATGCGAACCATTGTGCTTGCTGGGGGAGGTGGTAGAAAGAAATGTGGATTTCTCTGGTTGATGAGACGTGTCACATAGGCCTTGAGACGGCTTAGTTGTCAAGTTGGAAAGATTTTTGACAACTGTTGGACTCTGACTACTTAAATGAAAACCCAAGTTATTTGTTTTGTCTTTAGATATTAGAGAAGGGAATAAATTGTAGCAAGTAAAAACTTTTTATACCTTCAAGTCCCTACCATTTTTAAGACTTCATGTTAAGAATATCAGAACTTAATTTAAAATTGACCTCTGGAACCTAAGTCATTTTGCCTATAACAGATTGACTCTGTAGACTTGTTACTAGACCAGGGTTCTCACATGGGTGACAGGTGCAGATATGTTAACACGCAGAACCAGTTCTTTGCATATGGCTCCTCTTGTCTCCAGAGTGATGACTTCCATGCCCGGTGATCTCCTGCCATTCAGGGTATGTGCTGGCTGGATGGCTCTTTTGAATGAAAGCTTCAGATTTCAACATCCATATGTTGTCAGATTATCTATCTGTCTGTCTGTCTGTCTGTCTATCTATCTATCTGTCTATCTATCTATCCATCCATCCATCCATCCATCCATCCATCCATCCATCCATCCATCTATCCATGCCTTAGCATTCCAATCCTGCTCCACAGTCAAATACGTAGGATGCGATTTAATCCTCCACGAGTCACAGAGAGTATTATCAGCTGGGCATTCATTCAGCAAGTACCTGAGCATCTGCCATGTGGTATGCACAATACCAGGAAGAAGAAGCTTCAGGCCCTCCTGTGGATTACAGGCCAGCAGGAAGTACTGCCAAGGACTCATTTGCCGTCATTTGTAACATATGAACATAATTCTCATCTTGGGAAGCCTCAGAATAGCCGACTAGAAGCACATGTGAGACTTTGGAAGAATCTCCCAATTTGATGCTCTGGCTTCGTATCTTTGTCAGCAGTTCTTGTGTAAATCTTGACTGTTTTTAGGCACTCATTTTCATTTATTTACCATTTGTCATCGCATGTTTCTGGTCACTGTTCTCCACGGCCCCTTCTTCCCTGGTCTGATTGCAGAATAATTGCACATGTAGTCAAATAAAGATGTGTGCAGACTTGCCCTCTCAGCTTAGCCCTAGCAACCCCGCACGCAGCTTTGGTGCTCTGAGAATTTCCTCAAATGGTACATCTGAGGAATTTGCAGCAAGCAGTCCCAGGGCTTGGGGCAGTGTGGCTGGTTGGAGAAGATGTACCTGGCAGGGATGTTTCTGTTGAGAGTTATCATCCTGGGAGTGTGCAAACATCAGCATTTTTAAACCTTTAGGCAACTTTAGCACCTTTTCTAAAACTTAATGGGCATCATAATAAACTGTGAAAAACCTTGGTAACTTACTTTTTCTTAACTAAACTCACTTAAAGGAAACCGAGTTCTTTGTGTTGTTAGCGTTCTAACTTGCAAGCGGCTAGTGATTTCAGGGAGTTGGTGGAAGTGTCAGCGCTGGTAATGGGGTAGCAGAGGCTGGGGAGAGGCACTGCAAGTGAGGGCAGGCATTACAAAGTGACAGTAGTCACTCATCTTTGCGCCAAAACCAGGCCACACAAGTACTAAGTAGCTGCCTTTAGTATTTCAAAGAAAGAGTGATTGCTAGAAGGAAAAATATTTATTTCTGGGTTCTCTATAACTGGGAAGAAACTCTGCAAATTCACTATATAGGAATACAGGGAAACAAGTCCAAAAACACAATTTGATTTTGCACAAATGATGCCACTTCTCTCACAGGCTTCATGAGGCAGGGAGCATGTGTACACACAAATGACACAGATGCGGCTGGGATACGATTTATGTTTTAGCCTCCCCCAAGCAGGGTCAGCTTGTGCTGGATGAAAAAGGACAAGCATGAGCTTTTCTGAGCCTCCTGACAAGCATCTCTGCTTCACCCCAATGTCCAAAGAAGGCTGATGGTCAGAACCAGGAGCTGGTTCCCTTCAGGTTCGTGGAAAGTGAAGCAGAGTGAATGCCTCCCGCACCCTGGATGGCGGACGCACAGAGGTGCTCTAGGTGGGCTTGTCTCACTGGAACACTGTGTGTTCGTGGGAATTTGGATTTTGTGACTCTAGACTTTCTTCCCTTTCCCCTCGGTGGTGAGGCCGAAGTGGGGCAGCGCAGCGCTACAGTTTGCTAAGTCCTGCGTCACCCTCCCCCACCTGAGCCCAGCCTCCTCTTGGACTGCAGGCGCTCGGGACCTTGCAGACTGCAGTGAACCAGGGATGAAATGACAAAAACCCTCCAAGGAGGACAGGAGGGTGTTGACAAACCAGTGAGCTCACCGGTGGTGGGGGCCTATCTCCTCAGAGATGAAGGCGAACGACACATGGGCGAGTTTGAACCCGCCCATGAACCCCGTGGAGCTGGGCTGGAAGCTTGGCTCCACCACATTTTCAATGTGAGGCTGAGACGGCGTCCCCCCGGGGTCTGTGTCCTCCTCAGCTGGCCTGTACTAGATGCTTGGTGGATACTCCCGCACCTTCCGTCTTTCCGGCCCGCCATGACAAAACTCAGCACCGATTGCCACGTTGATGGTTCTGCCCTTTCTTTGCTCACCTGGCTGTCAAGTGATCCCAGAAAGTTGGCTGGTTAAATGGAGCATTAACAGTGAAGCTCAGGGTTCATTGTTAGCAGTGACGTTCAGCGTAATGGGGGAGCCTAGGTGTTTTTACAATATTTGACTATTCAGAAAATAAGTGGGGAGGGTCATCTGTTGGCTGGCCTGTCAAGGCCCTAGTTTGGTCACGGATCTGGTGTTGCTGGATAGGAGAATCGATGGCCCCTCTCAGAGGTCACTGGGTGGAAAAGTAGTGTTGTGCCTTTTTATAAAAAGAAGCACATCGGGGGTGGTCCGGGAAGGGTCGGGCGCTTGCACAGTCTAAGCGCCGGGAGGAGTATGTTAACATGGAGGATATTAGAGCCATTTTCAGCCCTAGGACTGTGCTTCCACCTGCTGCTTTTCTCCCTCCCTGGATTTGACATGTCAAGTCCAGCTGAGGTCGCACAGGCTCTGCCGAGGTGCTGGTTCCCCCTCTCCCCCACCTCTTCCTCCCCTTCTGTTCTCTCCCAGCCCCTCCTCCCTCTCTGCCTTGTCTCTCTTCCTCTCTCTGCCCCCAACCCCATTCCCTCTCCTTAGATGGAGTGAACAATAGTAGCTTGCCATGTAGTTGGCCCATTTTTGATGTGTAGATACCCATTTTTCTAGACTGAGATGAATGAGGATACAAATTACAAAGCTTGGGCCTTTCTATACCCAAGAAATCCTCAGGGATGTAGCTTGCTTTTGCATTTGGAGTGGAGCAACATGAACCTCACTCTCAAGTGCTCCTTCTTCTCCAATACAGGTTTCCCCTCACATCCAAAAGCAGAGCATTCCTGTGAAACCTTCTCTAAGGCAAAATGGCATAAAGTGAAGAGCACCTGCTTTTATGAAAGACCTACATTAGTACTTGTTTCCAAAGAAGGGGGACCTTCGGAAAGTGGGGGATGCCTGTGCTGGCAAGAGCTCTACTCCTGGGAACCAGTGACCTCCTGCCCTTACTGCCCCCAAGGGGACCTTGGGCTTTTGCTTCCTAACTCAGCTCACATGGGGAGACTGACCTCATGGGGGACCTTACATGGGGGACCTTAGCTTGTGGAGGTATTGCAGAGTATTTATCTGACTGTAGAGTGTTTGAGTCACGATCTTGTATTTGTTTAAACTGAGAAAACTATAACCAGAATATATACAGAAAAAATAAAGGGCCTGTAATCCTCCCTGATTCACAGTCTTGTTGACTGATTCCCTGCACGTCTGATTGGGCACACTTCCTAACTTTTCTTAGGTTTTTTTTCTCCTTCCCATTTTCTGCCTTTCATTCTCCTGCCCCTTTGTCTTCCTGCCTTAGCCACAGTGCCCTGGGTCTTTGTGGTGGCTTCCTGGGCTGAAGAGGCTTCTGATGCTTACTATAAAGACACAGAATTACTTCTGAAATTTCATCCTGATATTTGTTGGAGAAAAGTAATAACCTACAGACTGTGTAATTAAGGCATGTTACAGGGTATCTGAGTAACAATCTACACATGCGTATTTTATAGAAAAGTGCTCACTTAACTAAAAATAGCCCTGGATGTGGACATATGATATCCTCACTTTATAGAAAAGAAAACCAACTCAGAGATGAACAATAATGCATGCTCGAAAGTGAAAAGATTCTGACAATTAGAATATAGGACTGGGTGATATTTACTCCAGAAAACTACTAGCAGTTTCAGATTGAGTTAAACATGTGTATGTGTATATATAAATGTATAAGCATAGAAAAAATTCTGGAGGGAACTCCTAAACTGATAATAGGGGTTAGTCATTTTTTTCCTTGCTACACTTACATAGTATTAAGTTTTCTTAGAGTATATAAACAATCATGGGGTGCCAGGGGGAGAGAACGTGGAGCAGGAGGAGTGGAGAATCCTAATTTAAAAAAACAAAATAGAAGAACAAGAAAAAGAATCCCTCAAAACCTGTCTGATGGTCGTTACCCATAGAGGATGTCCACGTTAGTTCTTCCTCTGGAATACATCCCGTTTCCCACCAGCTCTGCTGGCCTGGCTGTGCTGGGGGATCAGCTCTTGACCCCTTGTGAAAGGTCCTTGTGTGGTAGCAGGAGTCCTCACATCGTAGTCTCACTTCCCCAAGAGCGTTCCCTGACCAGTGCAAATGTGAAACCTCCTCTCTGAAATAAAAAAAAATAAAGTAAAATTGTAGGCTCTGACATCATAGTGGTGGAGATTTTCTTGGTCAGTTTCCAGAGAACGCTCGGCACTCCCAAAGCTCTCTGGCCGCCTTGCTGCGTCTCTGCAGCCCCAGAGGGCTGAGCAGCTCACAGGCTGAGAGCTGCCATTCCTTCAGGTGACTCCTGCTGCCAGTTAGGAGCCCTTGTACTTAGCAGGTGCACTTCCTGGCCAGCAAGTGGAGATGGCTGAGAAAAAGGTGCCCAGCAGTGCCAAACCTGCACGCCTGTATGTGCTGCGGGTCAAAGTAGTGAGGACGTCCTAATCCTCTCTGCACATCCGTACATTTTGTAGCTAAAGAATGTAATCATTAGATGCTGTGTGAGAAACTGATGTTGCTAACACGTGATGTTGTGCCTGGCAAGGAGATAAAACAGTGGAAATCATTTCAAAAAGAATATAGCTAACATTATGGAGGAAAAACTGAATGGTGCGGCATTTCCACAAGAGCTGAGGCAGCGTCGGTCTGTGCAGGGTTGAGAATCGGCGCAGTGAGGATGGTGGCAGTGATCCACTTCTTGTCCTGTTTTCTTTGACCTTGTCTGGCAGGACCTGTGCCTCTAGGTCTGAGAACCTCTTCTCTTTTCTCCTCGGTTGTTTCCTTTTCCCAAGGATCCTTTGACAGCCATGCAGTTTTAGCCTTGCTTCTCTGAAGCATGTACTTGATCCTGGGTGAATGACTTACTTTAGCAAAGCCTGCACCTCGGTACCAGGAGGTGCACAGAAGTCCCAGGCAGCCTGCAGGCCACAGTGGGCTTAAGTGTTAGGCTTTCTATTAGTAACACTGTCTTCTCACATGGTCATCTGTCTTTTTCCCTAGGGTGGTGATGGTGCTCGGAGATCCCCGCTCCTCGACAGTGATGAGCCCTTGGTGTACTTCTACGATGATGTCAAAACCCTATACGAAGTTTTCCAGAGGGGCATACAGGTGTCGAGTAAGTGTTTACTGAATTTGTATGACTAAGGCTTGGTGACACTCACTCAGAGAGAGCAGCCTTTCTTCAGAAAGGCATGTGTGCCCTCACCTGTGTCCTCCCCAGCATCGTTTGGGTGTCCCTGTTCCCTCTGTGTCTTCTCTGGAGTGAGCCCCAAAGCGCACTTGTCCGCCTGCAGGTTCCTGTGGCAAAGCGGGTTCCTTGGTCACATATGTTCTCAGCAAGTCCTATATTTATGGAGAGTCGCATTAGCTCATTACAGGCTCTGACATTTCCTTCAGTCAAGAGACCTGTTCAGTTGGGCCCGATCCAACATTTTTCAAACTGGCTTGCCCATGAGACTCATGCTGTGAGAAATAAACTCTGATGTTCCAAGGAAGCTGGATCCCTTGCGACACATTGGGAACGTGGCCTCAGATCTGCCCTTAGTGCCTAACAGCGCCGTGAGACGCCTTGCAGCCCCAGCGCCCACCTTCCCGGCCTCCTCCCTTCCAGTCTCTGCGTGGGAGCCCTCCAGTCACGCGGACCTCCCTGCACGCTGGGCCCCCTCTCTCATAACCCAAGGCCATCGAGCATTTTCCCCCTCCTGACCATAAAGCCTCTTCTTTCCTACGCCCAGCCCAGGGTACTTATATATTCTTACCAAGCTTGCAAAACCTGTATTGCATTTCACATTTTCATCCCCAACCTCAGTGTGAGGACCCCCCTTTCCCAGCATCTTGTACCTATTTCTGCAATAGTCCCTTCAGGGCACAGCAGCCTCTCCCTGGCCTTCAGTCCCACCAGGAGCTGCTGCTCTTTCAACAGGGCGGCTGTCTCTTCTCTCAGAATGGGCACAGAGCATGGGCACACAGTCAGCACTCCATTAATGTATCCTCGACAAAGGGGAGCCCACCCTCCGCTTTTGCCACCCTGTTGTTTTAGCCTCTTTATTTTGGCTTGTTCCAGGCTCCTCTCTAGAAATAGTCTTTGGGATCCATGGTTTGTTTTTAAATCTGTTGGTGGGTAGCCTTTATTTTTGCCACTGCTAGCTAGACTGTAATTTCCTTATGGCCAGGGATGTGCTGTTGCTGTCTCTGTCCCCAGTATGTTGTACAGAATGGTGCTCAGATAGTGCCTGTGTTTTTCACTTGATACTGGTAAAGTGGGCTGCTCAGTTCAGTGTGTTTGCCCAGTATTCCTATAGCAGGTTCATTCAGCGCCACTATAAAGGGAACGCAAACTTACTTTTATATTACTTAATTTGCAAACATTCAAAGTTAGTGCTAGGGTCAGGCTTTGTCTGTGATAGTAGATATCCATAGGGTAGAGCAGCCTAACATAAGGCCACATGGGAAAAAATGTATATATATATATATTCCTGGTTACCAGTGCCATAAAGCATGTGTATGTATAAATATATCTGCATTTTTTCCATTTTAGCCAAGGCTGGGATTCATCTAGGAGTGTGGCAACTTACATTATACTTCTGACTCACCTGATCTTAAGACAAATCATGTGACTTTTTCTGGGTCACCTCTACTTGGAAAGCTGAAGGCCTCACATGAGTGGACCTTTCAGAGAAGTTGAAGAGAAATAAACTCAGTCTTCATAACCTATGCTGATTGAAGGGGGCTGCTCTGCAGATTACTTTTTCTTTTGTTTCCAGAGGAGCTTTTTATTCTAAGCTATTATTTTCCTAAGCTACCACAAGATTAAACTTTCCAAGTGAGCAATACCAGCATCTGGATAATGTAGTTTGGAGTTCGTTGAATGACAGGAGAAGCCAACCTAAAGATTTTAATCCTAGTACTTCAAAACTGTGCTGAGGAGGCCACTTTATCAAGACTGAGTCCCCTCTCTGGGAGGGTTCCCACCCCAGCTGCACTTTAGTGTTGCTTGGGGAGCTTTTATAAAACACTAAGGCCCCTCCCCATACAGCCACTTACAACAGACGTTTGGCTAGTTGCGTCTGGAAAGTATGTTTGGTTAAATTCCCTAGGTGAGCCTGGGAGTCGGCCCCGCTACTCTAGAGTCAGAGTTTGCACGCTTTTCTGTGAAGGGCCAGAGAGTAAATATGTTAGGCTTCTGGGGCATACGGTCTCTGCAGTCTTAGATAATATGTAAATGAGGGAGGGAGGCACCCTGCAGTAAAAGCGTGTTTACAAAAACAGGTGGCAGGCCTGATCTGGCCCCTGCCTCTAAGTTGCCAATTCCTGTTCCTGAAGAATAAAATAACCTTTTTTCATGTGGCGCATCTATTTTCTTTCCATCCGAAAACAACCCCTGATGGAACTTGTCATGGTCAGCCTGGTCCCCCTCGCGGTCCCTGTGCGGCGCGGAGGGTCCAATGGTGAGACCTTGAGTGCGCCTTTCAGCACCATCGGGACTGCTGCTGTCAGGTGCAGGAGTCGGGCCAGCCTGGCTGCTCCCCTCCCTGTGACAGCGGCCCTGAAGCCCTGAACCCAGAGGCTAGGGCATGGCTCTGACAGGCCCGGGCTGGCCGGGGCCCGCACGTTGTGCCATTCCTCTGCCTCCCTGCAGGTCCCCAAACCAAATCAGAACACCTCGGCCCACACTCAGACCCAGGATGGTGAGGTCAGACGTGTGATAGTCTCCCAATGGAAATGCACATTCCCCATTCAAATGAGAGACGACCGAAATCCAACCTCAGATGCCCCTCTAAAAAGGAGCTGTGCAGACCCAGCCTCGCCCAGAGCTGGCGGTAGAGCCAATTTCTGGTTAGGTAACATTCTTGTATGTGGCCGGCTCTGATTGCCTAAATGTGGCAGCTTTTAGTCTTATAGGGAGACACAGCTTTCCTCTTCAACAACTACAAGCTGAGCATAAGGTTAGCTTGGGATTCATTTGTAGAAACGGGTTAATTCCAAATATAAATGATTTGGAGTTATATTTATTACTGCCTTTAGGGTGAATGTAACTCTTGGGGGAAAATCCTGGGGCAAAATACCTCTGAAACCAAAATCAGTCAAAGGTAGAAATAAAGTGGGAGAAACCCATTTATTGCTTACAAGCAGTCCACTTCTGCTCACCCGTGTCTCTCAGGATCCAGCTGCAAAAAGGGACCCCACCCAACCCCTTGGTCCAGCTGTGCCACCCCCACCATGTAATCACCTATGATATGGAGATGCACTCAGGCCTGGCGGGAGATTCTGGAAATGCTGCAATTTTACCCACAGTGAATAATTAGTATGGGTCTTTCTGTTTATTTGGTATCTAAATTGGAATCTGGATGCATCCTGATGTTTCTTAACTTTTGTTCTCACAAATGCCCTCTAATTTTCTCTCATTTTACATCTTTTCTTCATTTTTGTTTCTCTGCAATAAGACCTCACCTATGAGGTGATTCTCGATACTTTTGGTCATCAGAATTTGAGTACTTAATATTTTCCTTTTCACATTCTGAGATGGAATACTTTAAACTTCATTAGAAATTTTGAGGGATACTTGTGAAAATCTACAGCAAGATCCCTTTACCACTCAAGCTACTGACTTCTTTTTAAACCAGCAGCGTGTTGCAGAATTATTCACAAATTGAATGTCCTTAGAAATTGTATTTGCCTTAAATCTCCTCTCATTGTCATTGTCAAAAATCAGACCAGAACCCAGGGAGGAAGCGTTTTCCATCTGAATTCATTATTTCTGATCTGAGAGCCACTAGAGTCCACCTGATACTTTGTAGAATCGAGGGGATACAAATGAGAGCATTTATACATGTTAAGCCAATCTTTTGTTTTGTTTTTTCTTTTTTTAGATAATGGCCCGTGTTTAGGCTTTCGGAAGCCAGATCAACCCTATGAATGGCTTTCATACCAACAGGTGAGTTTTCCGCCTCCGTGGACTCCTCATGCAAGCTGGAGGCTTAAATACGTCCCTTCTCGGAACTGTAGGAGATTTGGGCTGGAAGGTTCTAGAGGGTGTGTGCCAGACCCACCCAGAGCTTGGGGGTAAGCATGCAGCCTCTGAAGGGAGAAGGCTTAGCCAAAGATTTGGCAAACACTAGCTGGTGGTTCAAAGCACTTTATTTTAGAACTGATGTGGATGCATTGTGGAGTAGAGTACCATTTTTAAGATAAAATTGTAGAAATGTGATTGAAGCAGGTGACTGTCCTCCCAGTTCCCATAGGGGGACAAGATTACTCCTCTCTGCCTTGGGGAGTATTAGAAAATTTAGAAGTCCCAATATAGAGTAACCCTCTCATTTTATAGATGAGGAAAACACATTCCAGGAAGGGATGGGAGCCACCCAGCGGCGCAGCTGGTTAGTGGCAGAAACAGGACCACAGGTGAGCTCCGTACCTTCTGGTGTCGGGCTCTGCAGTGCATCACACTGATGCTGAGCAGCTTGGGACTGGGGCGGCGTTTAACCCCAAGGCAGCCATAGAGAGCTCACAGATGTTCAAAGGTGACACCTGTGTCACTGGGTAAGCACATAGTGTGCTGAGATCTGGGTATATTGACTGTTGGCACCCCAACTGATCCATGGCTGCCACTGTTTAAATAGTTCGTGAGTGGCAGGTGAGCAGGAAGACATAGCTTTTAATTCCTGTCATGATTCTAACAATCTAGATGCCCCTTCTTCTCCCTCATCCAAGTGGCCCCCGAGGACACGCAGGGGCAGCTAAAGTGTCTGCTTAGCTGCTGGCTGTTTCCTGCACAGCCGCTGGGGAAAAGGCTCTCGGTGCCGGGGGCAGGTAACCCCATGATCCTCGTGAATGCAAATGTGCATCCTTCTCCCCTGGTTTGTGTGAAAGCTGCGTCCAGTGTGTTCCAGGGTGTGTGTGTGAGGGGTTGTCATCAGGAGCCACAAAGAAGGAGTGATGAGCTGTCACTCAAGTGACCAGAGAGATTCCCTGTTTTCATTTTGTCTCACCAGAACTACACAAGTTTCCCATCCAAATAGTGGTTTTTAGGATTCCCCAATTTCAAAAATGATGTAAAAGTACAGTCCTTCAGTGCTTTCTGGATTACTTCCAACATGTTACTTACGGGAATATATTGCTCTACGTCTTCTGGTTTGCGTGGGCCAGAAGGGAGAAGACAAGTCCATCACAGATCAGATGTTTCAAGGCAGATAGGGAACCACTGGGGTTTCTGAAGGTGGTAATCTATGTGTTGTCTCTTCCTGTGGGGCTGGGAAAAATATAAAGCCAGACTTAACTGAAGCCAACTTTGCGTTTACACATTTAAATCATTTTTTTTCACTAGCTCAGTGGTTCTGACCTTTGGGGGGCTAGAAATCCCTGTGAGGTTTTCTGAAGAAAGGTGGGGCCCCCTTCGTAGAGGTGCAAATGCAGGTTTGTATTTTCCAGTAAGCTCTGCGAATCATTGCCGGCATTTCACACAGTCCCCTCCGGGGACCGCAGGCAGGAGTTGTGAAACAGGCCAGGGCGAGGGGAAACAATTGGCGTCGGGATGCTCTTGCTGTCACCTCCCCCTTGCCAGCTCTCATTCCCGTTAGCGGAGTGAAGGATGGCACCATGCGCCAGAGCCAGCAGGGCTCTGGGGCAGGAAGAGGGGTGGCTTCACTTCCTTCGGGCGTGGGCGTGCATGAAAAGTGCTCTCCAAAATTCACCACCTGAGAATAAAGAAAGAAAGAAATCCAAACTTTAAGATTTATAATTTTTCATAAATTTGGGATAGGTATGGAAAAAGGAATGGACACACATATATAAGTCCTGCCTAATTTTTTTGAATCTACCTATTTTTACCTAGTTGAAATAATAGTATTCATTTTCATATTTCTTTATTTTACTTAAAGTTGTTAAAAATAGTCTAAGTTTGATGTGGCTTTTGTAGTTGTCATATTTACCAGCTATATAGCATTTTCTCAAGAGATTTACCATCATGTATGTAAGCATCCAGCCATTGGTCTTTTTCCCCTAGGGTTTTGTGACTTCAGATAATTTTGAAATACATATCTTCGTATATAAAGTGTTCTGAGCCTCCTTTCAAGAATGAATTATTACCCAAATATAAGTGCTCGAGAATGGAATTGTAGAGCCTAATGATGAAAGCTTGTTCTAATTTTTTCAAAGGTCTCCCCCAAACTTGCTGTTTCCTGTGTTGATACCACATGGCAAGTTTTGGCTACCGGGCTGCTCTTTATACATACACAGAACTGAGTTGTCTATGTCCTGGTGCTCCTTTTATCATGGTGTGAAGCTAAGTATAAAATAGAAATGTGCAAGCACCCCGGCACACCGCCATCTGGGAACTGTGGCTGCTGGGATGAGGCTGATCTGCAGAAGTGACCGTACGATCGCTTCTCTTAGTAGTTCCGGTGAATTAGACCTCGCATGACGAAAACGGAGAGCGAAGGGCAGACCTGCTCGCTCTGCTCTCCTGCGCTGTGCGGCGCTGTGTGCGCCTGGCCTCCTACCTTGGCTGTCACCCGGTGGGCTTTGCTTCTTGAGTTGGGCCTGACTTTGCTCCTGATTTTCTTTCTCCCCATTTTAGGTTGCGGAAATGGCAGAGTGTCTGGGCTCAGCTCTGATCCAGAAGGGCTTCAAGGCCGCCCCCGACCAGTTCATCGGCATCTTTGCCCAGAACAGACCTGAGGTATTCACACTAAGCACCCACTGTATGTACCTGGTTTTGAGAGCTCAGATGTAAGAGCCAGTTGGAGGTCACACACCTGCCAGACTTTGTGGTCCAATTTCAACTGAGAATATGGCTCTGTGTGAAAGTTACACATAGAAAAACCCAAACCAGGGCCTCCTTAGTCTTTAGGTAGAAAAAAAGTCACTTTTTTGTGATAATTGGTTTTTGTTTTTTTAAAGCTAGGTCCCCAAATAAAACTGACAAAGTTATTAGAACAACTAATAAAGAAGCCTTCTCACTTTAAGGCTTACCTCAGTGATTAGAAAAATAGCATTAAAAAATTACAGAGAGACTTGCATACATTTTTGGCAGTAGCAGACTCTCATCTTTTCTTTGTGAAAGGTATGAACTTTCTCTCTGATCAGATGATTCAAAATACCATGGGCGATGGGGCAGGTGCCTCACGTGGGCCAGCCTCAGTTTAGACATTCGGTCTGTTTGGCTGGCTAGGCCTGTGCATCGTGCCTCTGTAGACCATTGTATTTCAGTGCACTTCAGTGGGAAGTTCTTTTGGAGCTATTGCTTACAGTGTTAGTAAAAAATCAGTGGCATAGCTGGCTTGGAAAAATTCAAGCAGTGGGCTTGAAGAAATTGAATTGATTCTTGTATCTGAAAGACATGTTGGCTCAATCCCCATGCTACAGACTATTTTACAAATGAGAGTGGTTTCTTAGAGTTTGTGTACTGCTCAGGAAAAAAGCATTTTCTACAGCTGGACTGTGATAGGCTCATGGGATTTAGTTTCTTTCATTTCAAGTGAAACTCATTCAAATGAACACATCTACGATTTTTGCTTTAGTAGCATTTTATAATGAATCTGTAACTAGGACACATATTCCTTACTTCTCACAAAGTAGGCTCCTTCCCATATTTATCAGTTAGTTGAGCACCTACTATATGCCAGGCACTGCAAGGCCCCATAAGGAAGATAGGTCCCTAAGCTGATGATTCCTCTGTAATGTGACAAGTGTGGATGCAGGACAAACAGATTATGGAAGCTCAGTCAAGGAGGACTTCCTGGAGGTGCCATCTAAGTGGAGTCTTGGAGGATATGAGGGTGGAGAAGCCAGATGAATGTCAGCAACAACCACATAACGTTTGCATCAAGCAGCATGTTTGTACTGGGGATGCCTGGAGTGGCAGGATAAGGGGAGGGAAGCAAGGGTCACATGTGCCACATGCAACCTGCTGAGGAGCTTGGACCTGACCTCTGTGGTGGTAGCTTGAAATTGGTTTCAGGGAGAGAAAAAAGGAGAAAAAACAGTTCCAGTCCAAGCGAGTGTGAGTGGGTTGTGCTCACTTTCCACATGTCTGTGTTGTTTGTTATCTGTGCCCTGTGCTCTGTGCCCAATCTCTGTGGAAGATACAAGAACTGCAGCCAGAGACTATGGGTACCAGTGATGATATACAAAAGAGTGATCTTGCTGCTCTGCCCTGTGGGCAGATCAGTTGCTGTGTGGCTGACGAGTTTAGAGGCCAGATGGCCCATCACTGTGTCACTTCTTTCCTTCATCACTTTTCTGGGAGGTTTTGCCAGAATCATCTTCCTGTTAGACCAGCGTGTTTCTCCTCCCATTCCCAGGCCCCAGAGGCACAGTGTTGCTGAGAGACCCTCAGTGTTGGTGCATTCCCAGGGAGGGGAGCCAGGCTTCTCGGCAGCCACGGGCTTGCTGCCGGCCCTGCAGCCTCGCCGTCCCCCACGTCCCTGCTGGAACCTCCACGCCAGCTGAATTGCCCACTCACCTCCCTCTGCTGTGATCAAGCCGTCCTGCTCTAGCACTTGCCTTCTGAGTAGTGGCCAGTGTTTTGTTCTCACCATGAATCCCACAGTGCCCGACACATAGTAGTAGATATGCACATGTTGTTTTTGTACACCCAGTAGTTCACTTTGAACCTCTCTGGGGTCTTGCTCTGCTGGGAGTGCTCCCATGTGACATCTTGCTTTCTCTCCCCAACCTTTACTGTCTGTTTAGTGGGTGATCATCGAACAGGGATGCTTTGCTTATTCAATGGTGATCGTTCCCCTCTATGACACTCTTGGAACCGAGGCCATCACCTACATAGTCAACAAAGGTACGTCTGCGGACTCTGGTTGGATGTTGGCCTAGTTAATGGTTAGACTGGGTGACTTTGCATTTGGTTATATTTGACTTGATAGGGATCTTATGTTTAAATGTTACATCTGCCTTCCTAGTCAAAGAATGTGGTACCTAAATGACCTGATGTCAGATATTATACAGTCCAGCCTTTAATATCCTAGAGCTTATTCTTCACTGTCTCTTCATTTCCAGCTGAACTCTCTCTGGTGTTTGTTGACAAGCCTGAGAAGGCCAACCTCTTATTAGACGGTGTAGAAAATAAGTTAACAACATGCCTTAAAATCATAGTTCTCATGGACTCCTATGGCATTGATCTGTTGGAACGAGGCAAAAAGTGTGGGGTGGAGATTATCAGCATGAAGGCTCTGGAGGTGAGTCACTGCCCTGCTTGCTTCTCAAAGGGTTTCCCTGAGGTCATTTTGGCTCAGAGGTATTCAGTGTAACCATGCAGTCCCAACTCGGGTTGGCTGTCTCAGCAACCCATAAAAGACACAGAGCAGAAATTCCCATCTCATTACTGGAAAGAAGAACCCTACATGCATGCCCCAGTGTTAATCTGTCACGTGTTAGAGAAAGTACACTCTCATAAAGCCAGCCGCAAGCTCACATATTTATTCGAGAGCGCTGACCAGGCACGCCAGTAAATGTCAGACATGAGAGGTTCATATGCAGGTAGAGATTTAAGTTTGTACACCCTCTTTAGGCTTGAATGCCTTTTACTTACAGATTTGTCCCTAAGATGGAACCAGAGGTAGAAATCTTCCTCATTATCCTTTTTGCCAAGTTGCTTTTGTAGAGCCCTGGTGAATTTCCAGCACAGATGTTTGATTTGGTTTATTTTCATATTAAATTTCTTAAGATTCACATTAATCAAAATTTTGAAGGTAACCATTGTAGGAAAATGAGTGTGGCCCAGCTTTAAGTTGGTAGTTTGGCATCAGATCATGTCAGAAGCTGATTTCCCCAGTTGGATGTGGATTAGAGTTCAATCCAAAGAAGCTGGCTAGAAGGAGGATCTTGTTATGTGCACATCATAGGAAGTAATAGACCAAACAGAGTAAGTCCTTCCCTTTCTGACAATGTTATAAATATTTTCCTGGAACTGTTATAAATAGGGCTTGTGTTTTTATTTATAGTTCTCCTACAAATAAGGATGTAACCTTTCCTGGGGAACTTAGTAGTCAGAGGGAGACTGATTTGTTCCCACATAGCCTTCTGCTTTCTGCCCTGCCTACTCACACACACACGTAGCATAGGACAGAGTCCACAGAGTGGGTGTGCTGAATTGTTAAATTGGGGCTTAGCTAGCTTTGACCTAGCATTTCCCCACTTCTGTTTTTTTACTTGTACTCCCCTTTCACAGTAATGTAATCTTTACCCCCCACCCTCCTCCCCACTGCCCCCACAGGAATGTGTCTTTACCAACTGCTACGTGAAGATTAAAATTTTAAATTTAATTAAAATATTGAGTTAGTGAAGATTATAGTACAAAGTGTATATTAAAGTCTTTGTAAAAGACATTGTTTTGCACTTACCTATGTAAATATGTGTAATAGTTGGTTTTTGAAAACTTTCTAAGCCCAAGGTTATGTTCGTAAGAAATGCATTTAAAATTACTTTTGTGGTTGATCTTATGATCAAGTTTATATTAATGTATATTTTTATAGGATCAAAAACAGAATGTTAGTATTTAAGAGATGTGCATTTTTGTTTTGTTACAAAAACTTTCAAACATACAATCAAGTTTAAAGAATTATTTCAGTAGACCCCCATATACCTGCTGCATTAACATTTAACATTTTAATGTATTTATTAATAATATACTTAACATTTTAATATATTTGCTTTATCACATATTAATCCATCACTTTATTCCTTGATTCATTAATTCTTTTTATGTAGGTTACATTAGGAGATTGCAAATTTTATCACCCCTACATAGTTCAGCATACTATTCATTACCTAGAATTTACTTTTTCTTCAGCTTATTGTTGTCTTTTTCCTTTTTTGGCATTTGGAGCCTAAGATGGCAACTTATTTATTTTTCAGGTTGCTGTGCTTCTTTCTAAATGATGACCTAAGACAAATTTTAGGCTATCAAACTTCTTGGCTAATAGTGCACTAATTTGGATAATGTTTTCTCCCAATAAATTAAAAGCCAAATTGCATATAACTATTGCTTTATTTTATTAGCATCAATTTTTGAAGAAATGAGATCTTTTGAACAAATTAGTAGAAATTTGGATTTGATAAAGAATTTTTTGGAAAAAAAGTTGGTGCAGTTATCATGGTTTTAGGTCATAGATGATTCTATTTGGATGTCAGTGTTCCTGTTTTTGATCACTGGTCTGTTATATTTTTAATTTGAAATGTGATTAAGATGAATAACTATTTAAAAACAAAAGCTGGACAGAAACTGAGCCCTGAGCACACCCATCTAATTTCCATTTAATTCTAGGTGTGCTCATCCCATATGCTGACTCAAGCTATTCAGTTTTAATAGGAAAAGAATATAAGTAGTTCATTAAAAAAAGAAATAGGTAATTAAAGTGGTCACCTAGACTACCGTCATGTAGTAAACTGAACACCAGAATGAGCCCCCCTAGTAACTGGGAAATGATGCACCCTCAGAAATGAATCTGTTACTCCTCATGTCCTGATGTGACCAGAAAAGCCCCACGATCCTTCCTCTGCCCCCTTTCTCCCTGTGTGGGGTATTGTCATGTGAGCCTCTCCTAAATAGGCAGCATTTGACTCTGAGAGAGACTGATTTTTCTCTGCAGATAGAACATGTCAGTTCTGGAGAACTGGGTGACCACATAGCCGTGCTCAGATCTGGGGAGGGTGCACAGCATCTGAGTTCTTTGGTTACAGCAGCTGGGCTTTGTTAAAGGCGGTAACAGCAGGTGGGGGTGGGGGCCAGAAATACACTGTGAAAGACTTTGATTCCTTTTGAGTAAATACTGTTTCAAAGGCCTGTCTTAATGCCATTTATGTAGGTTTATAGAAGAGAGAGGAGAACTGGAGATGGCTTCTCGGAGCATGGATATGCACTTCAGGGCAGGTTCATGAAAATTGCCATTTATTTCATTTGACATTTGTGTTGTCTCTGAGCCAGCTATGAGTGAATCCTTAGTAAAGTCAGCTTGAGGTGACTTAATGTGACCTTATTCTTTACACTTAGAGAATGTTTCTATTTACGATATTTTTTTCTCTTAATTAAGGACCTGGGAAGAGCCAATAGACGGAAGCCCAAGGTAAGGACACTACATCCGGCCCGCCGGCCCCATCCGGGAGACAGGGTGGTCTGGGGGATATGTTCTGGCTTTTGGTTTTCTTTTTTCTTCTGATTCATACCACCCCTCCCCTTTCTTTAATTAACTGGGCGGTAGCCTCCAGCACCTGAAGATCTCGCAGTCGTTTGCTTCACCAGTGGAACTACAGGTACGTTTTGAAAGGGAATTGCTTCTAAGGGGTGCCTGGCAGTGTACACTCCCTGCCCCTTTTAGAATGACTCACCTAGACTTCAGATGGATTGATAGCAGAAGAGGCGGCAGTGGCTCAAGTGCCGTTTTCTTCTTGCTCTGTAAGACGCTCTCAGAATCTGAGGGCGACATTTATTTCCTCCAGCATTTCTTACAGGCAACAGTGGACTCACCCATCTTCCTGGGACAGACAATATCAGTAGTTCCCAGAAATAAAATTCCTGGGTTTTCTTCTCTACAGAAGAAACATACCGTCTAAAACTTGCCCCTATTAACAGATTAAGATAGTAAATTTCCTTCAGAGGATTGCAGATTGCTCGGGTATTTAATGTTACTTAGCATTTGGCTTTTATGGGTGAACCTAACACGAGGGCCATTTGAGGCACTAATTATACAGGGTCCTGGACTTCCATAATTTTGTCATTCTTGGACTGAGTTTCTTTACTCTGACTTTGTTCTGCTCCTCTGTGTCCCCAGGCAACCCCAAAGGAGCGCTGATCACTCATCGAAACATAGTGAGCGACTGTTCAGCTTTTGTGAAAATGACAGAGGTAAACGTTTGGGATATTGTCGTCTTTCCTCATATTCACTGGTTGGCATTAGGCCTCAGGAATGGAGGTGTTCACGGCAGCACCTGCATTGGGCCCGTGCTGCATCTGGAGCACGATCTGACATACGCAGGAGGTCTGCACTGTGACACAGTCTAAGATCACCTTGTCTGAAATAGTTTTCATTGTGAACCTAATCTCCAACTCCTGCGTGTTATCATTAAGGTGAATTGACAGGATTTATTACAACTTTTGTGTAGTAAAGCTGTGCTTGGATATGCTCTGTAAATGTTTTCAGGAAAGGACAGAGAAGAAATGACTCTCGTATGTTTTATCTACTGTTCCAGTGTGGGGAAAATAATTTGTGTAAGTTGACAATGAAATGTTAAGTGCTGCTGAAGGGATATGAGTTATTATTATTTATTATGCTCTATTTGACTTTTATAAAGAGAAGGATTAAAGCCTCGAACTTCAATAGGTTTCCTATAATCTGAAAGTTTGCGGTCCAAGTTTCTTGGTCTGCTAGGGCTGCCGTAACAAACAGAAGAGACTGAATGGCTTAAAAGATAGACATGATTTTCTCACCGTTCTGGAGGCTAGAAGTCTCTGATCAAGACGCCAGCAAATTCGGTTTCTGCAGAGGGCTCCCTTCCTGGCCTGTAGTCCTCGTGGTGGCTTTGCTCTTTGGGCACTTGGAGAATGAGAGGGTCCAGGGGTTTCTTCCTCCTCTTACAAGGACACCAGCCCTGCTGGGTCAGGGCCCGTCCTTATGATCATTTAACCTGAATCACCCTGCAGAGGCCCTATCACATTGGGGGTTAGGGCTTCAACGTGTGAATTGGGTGGGGGAGGGGACTCAATTCACTCCACAGCACCAAGGGGATGTTTCAAACTTGCCTTCAGAAGAGAGGTTTGTTGGACTCTATAGTGCCTTTCCCTCATACCTTTGGCACATTTTACATAACTTGTTTTTGCAATCTCTGGGAAGGGTCATTGGCCCTAATTTCTGTGGCAGGAGCCTGAGCTTCGCAGTGTTGGGGAATGGGCATCTGGGGTGCCTGCCGGACATGGTCTCAATCTCGCTGATACTCACGCCTTCCTAACCCCAGATACCTTTCGTGGTGTATACTTTCTTAAGACAATTCGACATACAGTACCTTCTCAGAATGAAATTTTCATTTCCTAATTGGCCTTCAAAGAAAACTTAACTGCATCAGTGGCTCATTGAGGAAAATGATCACAAAACTTTGTTGAAAATTAAATATCTTATCAGGGGCATTCTCAACTTTGTAAAACTTCTGATCACACTAATGCACATTATTTTTGCACTAAATCAGAAAACTGAAAAGTATAGATACTATTGAGTCTAGTTTCTCATTACATAACAATTTCCTACTGAGACGTGCCAGTTGGGATGCAGGTCACCCTTGAATAAAGTCAGCCTAAGATGATGACATGTTCAGGTTGCATCACAGGCTTCTGTATTGGCTCAGGGCTGGTGCGTTCCTCTGTCACTATGTTGTGATGCAGGATGGCCCAGCTTGAGGAGAAGGGCCTGGCTCAGAAGCGGGTACGCCACCCCCAGGCAGCCTGGCCATGCCTTCATTGCTTGGCTGGGGTGGCAGCCACTGCTGTCGGCTGCCCCTGTCTGGGCCAGAATTCTTTACATTAGTAACACGGGTGTTCCAGGCAAACCGTCCCTGTGCCTGGCCCTATGTACAGCCCAATGGAAGCCAGATGTCCAGACTTGGTCTGAGTGCAGACCTGTCACAATCAGCATTTTATAGGAAAGTAAATCCCCTGGTTCCAAATCAGAGCTTGTGCTAAACAAATTGAGACATTTTTCATGGAGTGAAGTTAGGGCTTCTAGGTAAAGATGTTCATCAAACTGAAATATTCCAAATGCATTTATACTGTAAATAAAAGGAGCTGGGAAATCTAATTTATCTTATCTTCTCTCTCCCTTTCCCTCTACAAAATAATCTCCTTTCTTATGTTGGAATAGATTTTGTATTTCTTACCTTAAGGTGGAATTGAGCTTGCTGGGTCGTGGGGTACCGTGACTTTGAAACACTGAATGACTAAAGCACATGATCCCTTAACATCCCAATTTGGGCATAATTTTCACTGTTTTGGCTGTAATCCTGAGTGGATTTTCTTTGTCGCCAGAAATGGCTTCCACTCCATTCAAATACTTAAAGTATCAAACTATTACTTTTCATTTCATCCTTTGATGAGAAATAATGGCAGCTCACAAGCAAAAGCTGTTTGTTCTTTAGTGTTAAGGTATCATGTGCTCCAAGTAACATGAAAGCTTGCTGGAAATCTTAACGCTTTTCTATTTGCTGGTGTCTTTGCTTACAGAATACAGTCAATCCTACCCCAGACGATACCTTGATATCTTTCTTGCCTCTCGCCCATATGTTTGAGAGAGTTGTAGAGGTAGGCAATGAGTTTTATTTTGCTTGCTCACCTGCTTGCTTGTTTGTGTTCTGCTAAGTTGTTGTGTTTTGCAGAAAATTCTTGCCTTGGGGCCCAGTGACACACACATTTCGTTTTTACCACTTGCACACATGTATGAAGAGATGATGCTGGTAAGTTTGTTATGCAGACCTTCGTCCCCACAGATGATTCCTCTGCCCAGCCCCATCTCAGAAATGGTGTTAATTATTTAAAAGAACATACTTCTTTTTTTTCTGGGTCCAGATATTTGAACTTTGAATCATTCATGTTAACATTAGAAGCTCAGACTTTTGAAGGATACAGATATAGACCTGATTCCAGAAAGATTAACTGTAAAGATAAAATTTTTATGAATACCATCCTGCAAAAACCTAGTGGAAGTCTCTATTTTTTATTGTGCCTGTTCCTAATGCACAAGTTGGCCAAGAACCATCTCTTTTCGTTTTTGGACAATTTTGGATTGTATATTTATAGGAAAAAACAGTGGGTACTGTTCACTCATTTAACAAATATTTATTGCGCACCAGCCTATGCCAGGCACTGTGCTGGGTGTTGGCAGCAGAGGTAATTAATAAACAGCTGGCCCTTCAACTGGCTGCTGCCGTGGGAGATTTACTTACCCCTAAGGGATCAAGGATCACTGGATTCCATCTTCCTTCTGTTACTCCTGCTTCCTGCCGACCTCAGGAGATCTTGTGGATGTATAAGTGATGTCAAATGAGTTGATAATGGACTGCATGTATCTAATTTTAGAAGCATGCCTGGGAGGCAGGCCACATTGCCCGAAAACCCTTGTGAGCTTTAATTTTTAGACAGTGAACCCTGGGATACCTTTGTAGTGGTTTCTGCTTTTAAGCCTGAAACTGTTTGTACTTGTGCTACATCATCTTTTGAATCTTTGTTTTTAAAATTCAAGATAGACAAGCTTATGGCCAAGAGCAAATGGCTTGTCAATGCAGTTTGTACCAGACAGGAAAAGAGTCATGCAGCAGATCATAACTGAATGGCATTCCACTCTAGTATTAGATGTCCTATGGTCTCAACTGAAGCATATTCCGTGGCTTTCAAAAATTTTAGTTAGATGTAGATGAAAGAAATGAGACTCTAATAGACTTGAACTGTAGGCAAATAGTTTTTTTGTTTTGAGAATAGATAATACCTAAAGTTTCTGGGACACTCAAACTATTTGGATTATATGACATCATGTCATTCATGGAACAGATATCCATCGTGGAGCTGTAATAGCAGAATCCTGTGATGATCACTAAAAGCCACATAGGCTGCTTTCTTACCGGCTTCTTCTTCTTCAGGATGAACAAGAGGAAAGCATTTCCATGTTGTACAATGACCAGAGAACTTAAGAACATTTTTTAAAAAGCTGCCTGCATTTAGGAACTTTAAGATGGCTGGAAACTGTCTGAAATGCTAAAGCTGAAGCCTAGTGTGTCTGGGTGTTATGTTGGATAACTCCTTCTGTGACCGTCAAATGTTGGTTGTTTCTGTTGACCACTCTAGTGTGTAATGCTGTGTCATGGAGCTAAAATAGGATTTTTCCAAGGAGATATCAGGCTGCTTATGGATGACCTCAAGGCACTTCAGCCCACTGTCTTTCCTGTGGTCCCCAGACTGCTGAACCGGATGTTTGACCGAGTAAGTTCCAAACGGCAGAGAGGCGACAGAGCACAGGGTGGCCTTGGGTCTCGGACTCAGGCTAGAATCAGGCTCGGCCAGGTGCCTTCTGTGTGACCACAGATAATAAAACCTTATCTCTTGACTCATTAGATTTTTGGACAAGCAAACACCAAACTGAAGCGATGGCTGTTGGACTTCGCCTCCAAGAGGAAAGAGGCAGAGCTTCGCAGCGGCATCATCAGAAACAACAGTCTGTGGGATAAACTGATCTTCCACAAGATACAGGTGAATATTATTGTTTGCCGTGTTAACTCATTTGGGCTTCAATGTTTCTGTGGGGGCCTTTTTTGGAAAGAGAGGTGTGACAGTTCAAGAGAGAACAATAACACATTTTTATGAATTCTGACACATTATTAAAAATAGAAGGACAAAGCCATTAGGCAAACCTCAGTGTCCAAGGTAAATCTGAATCCTATTGTAGCTATCTAGGGTGGAAAAGGAACCAGGGAATTGTAGCCTTTCTAGTTCTCCATTTTATTTTGTTTTTCTGGGACAAGTATGTCACTCTTGCAATTTTTTAGGCATGAGTGCTAAAGAATGTGGAATACTGTCATGTCCAAAAAAATACCAAAATTGTGGTGATTGCCACAAATCCACCACCATCTTGTTTTACTTCCTTAAAATACCTGCAAGTAGAAGGGGGCGGGCTTGTTTTCCACAGTGCTGGGAGTGCCTGGTGTAGTTCTGGGCAGACCAGACTCCAGTCAGGGGCCACCCTGAACGCCCAGCCCTGCCGGCGGAGGTGAGCCCCAGGCACCAGGGCCACCGGTGCCCAGAGGGATCACTGAGGAACCTGTGACCAGCAGCCTCCTGAGCCCCGTTCTCTCCCCTCTCCCTGCCTTGCAGTCGAGCCTGGGAGGAAAAGTCAGGCTGATGATCACCGGAGCGGCGCCCGTGTCCGCCACCGTGCTGACCTTCCTGAGAGCTGCGCTCGGCTGTCAGGTGAGGCGGCCTCCCCGGCCGCTGCATGTCTCAGCCTTGATCCTGCCCAGGAATCTCCTTTCCAGAAGTCATCCTTAGTCTCCTGAGTGTGTCTCAGTTTGTGTTTGGGAGATCACGTCATTCCCAAGTTGCTTGCAGAGAAAGTGTAGCTAGCTTTTCCCCGAGGCAGGAGACCAGGCGTTTGTGCCCCTTCCCTGTAATTGCTTCTCTCTGGGGTAAGGCACCAAGCATCCTTTGGAGTCAGGCCTGAGGGGACGGTGATGGGTATTAAGCATCTGCAAACACGCAGAGCCCCTGTCTGAAGGGGACAGGGGAGACAGCAGAGCCCCGGTGACAGGTGGGACAGGATGCACAGCATGACTGTCACCCACAGGAAGTGAGGCTGGGCTGCGGGATGTTTGGGGCTACAGTGAAGCATGTAGCGAATGAATATACCAAACCCTGGAAGGGAGCTTGCACCAAGATCGGCCATTACTCAGGAGGCAGAGGAGCTTAACCACTGGTGCATGTCCCGTGAGGGTGTCCCTGCCCTCCCTTAATCATGTTCCATCTCTTGCTGACCCAGTTTTATGAAGGCTACGGACAGACCGAGTGCACTGCCGGCTGCTGTCTGACGGTGCCTGGAGACTGGACGGCAGGTACGACTGGCAGGGCACCCCTTCCAGGAATCTCAGTATTCAATCAGTTATTGGAATTGGCTTAATCATTCCTTGGCTCACTAGCCAACGTAAACATGTGCCGTGTCTCAGAAGACTAGGCCGTGGGATGAACAGTCTTTCGATCCAGCAGCCGTGTAGATAGTGTCTCTGGTGGTGCAGTGGGGTGTGATTTTGAGTCTCCAGCTGTGAAGCTGGGTGACAGGAGAGATTTACCTATATTCTGAAGGGGACATCTGAGCTATGATGCCCTTCATGCCGGGCTCAGAATGTTTGGCACAACAGAGCTTTCCTGTAATTGGGGCCTAATTATTTACTGCTAATTTTACTTAAATTTACACTCTGCTGTCCTAGGTGTTGAGAATATGGAAAGAAAGATATACAAGTCCTTTTTCCCAAAAGGATAAAGTGGGGGTGGGCACAGACATGATTGATTAAGTACCTGTCGTGGATGAGAGTATGTGTCAGCTGCTCAGGATGTACGTTATGTGTATCTGTCCTTGGGAGGCGAGTTCTGTTACCGCTGAGAAGAAACAGTTGCTTGTGGTTCAGAAGCAGGTAAATAATGTGTAAGAATTTACACAGCATTGTGTCTCAGAGCCAGGATTCCATCCCGGGTCTGCCTACAAACTTCTGTGCTTCTCTCCATGCCACCCTGGTAGCTTACACTGCGATCAGCGCACCCTGCTGACTGACGCGGGGTCTGGTAAACGTGAGCCCTACCTCTAACACAGATCTAGGGTCTAAATTCTAGTAGCATAACTGTGCTGGGATTGGTACTAACAGTGTGTGAACCTTTCTCATAGTGTTTGCTTAATATTTAACCCTGGGTTCTTTATACCTTGAGGTATGGAATAGTGATCTCTTTAAGCAAAAATTATTAAAACATAGGAAGAATTATTTGTAATGCTCTTGAAACATCTATAATGTGTGTTATTTTTATTTGAAGAAAAGACAGCCCGATCCTAACCCTCTTTGGCAAGAGAGTTAAGTGAGCTGTAAATATAAGCATGTCCTGTCTTAATAAACTTGAACGTGACACATGCCCATCCGTACTTCAGGAAATCAAGGCCACATTGGTCAGAACCAGGTTTGCCGAAGCTGCATGTCCTCATCTTAGAGAGAACTGGGTCATTAAGAAGTCTGTATGAGGGAGAGGGGGCAGACAATGAGCCGGGCCATCAGATCCTAGGAGCCAGGGCGCAGTTTTAGAAAAGAGTGTTTTCTACCAGGTATTTGTAGAAACCCTCAAAATCTGCAGCTAAAGTATTTACACTTTGGAAAATATTTTGGAGCATCAAACTTGGGAAAGGTCCCTAAGGCACTTTTGAATATTTTTGTCTCTATTCTAGGAATAAACTCTATAGATCTACCAGGAGGAGACTGGCTATGTTTACAGAAACCAGAAGTTTTTGCCAGCTGTTCTTATCATGAGCAGACTGGTTTGTTATAAAAATAATTCGGCCTAAGGATATTAGCAGTCCCCTTAAGAATGACCATTCTTTTATTTCATACCCAGGCCATGTTGGTGCCCCAATGCCTTGCAATCTTATAAAACTTACTGATGTAGAAGAAATGAATTACCTGGCTGCCAATGGCGAAGGCGAGGTGAGTGAAACCCCGTCAGCCGTTCACACTCCTGGCCATTTCCTCTAACAGCTGGCCAGCTCCAGGGCCCAGTGACAGGTAGAGCCACTGAGCCACTGAGCTTGATATGATTTTTGATCTCGGATCAAACAGGCTTTTTTTGAAGGTACATTTGTGTGTACCTCTGAGAGGAGGTGTGGGAAGGGGGCCACAAACACCTGCCTTGTTTTGCAGATGTGAGAGAACACGGGACCAAGAACGTGCAAAGTCCCTGTGCGCTCAGGGCAGCAGCCCAGCTCTGCACTGCTCGTTGCCCCAGGAACCTATCAGGGAGCTGCTGGTCAATGGGGTGGGGGTGCGGCTGGGGAAGCCTAATGACGTCAAAGTGCTTTTGCCCCCTTTGGAGCTTTCTAGCCATTTTGAGCTGGAGCTCAGAACAAGCATTAGCCCTAGTCCTTGACTGCAGCTGCAGTCATTAGGGAAGGAAAATGGGGGCAGTGGAGGTGCCCCCGGATCCCAGCCAGGCTCCAGTAGCTCCCTGGGGATCGTGGAATTCAGGGCATCTAGCTAAAGCTCGGAACACACACACGCACACACACTCTCAATTTTCTCTGGAGAAGCCCCAGGACATGCTGTTACTGGAGCCTCTCCCCGCCCCCCAGGTTTATGGCCATACTTGACATACAGCACTGTGTAAATGTCAAGTGTGCAACAGGGTGACTTGACTTACGCATACTGTGAAATGGCCACCATGTTCAGTAAGTTAGCATCCATCATCTCATGTACTTACAAAAAGAAAAGAAAAGCTGTGTTTTCCTTGTGATGAGAGCTGTGATTCGGATCACCTCATAACAGCTTTCGGGTTCCCCCCACAGGAGTGGTAGCTACAGTCCCCGTGCTGCACAGTCTGTCCCCGATCCCTGCTGACCTCATAACCGGAGCCCGTGCCTGTTGACCACCTTCCTCCAATTCCCACCCCACAACCCCCTCTTCTCAACCTTTATTCCCTCAGGTGTGTGTGAAAGGGTCAAATGTATTTAAAGGCTACTTGAAGGACCCAGCAAAAACAGCAGAAGTTCTGGATAAAGATGGCTGGTTACACACAGGGGACATTGGAAAATGGTTACCAGTAAGTGGTCACCTCCTCTGTTGACAAATACTTTGTTGCACTGTAGGGAAGACAGCGTCCCATTTGCTGTACAGGTGCCATGTGCTGTCCTGACCTCTATCCTTCCCTTTCTCCCCGTTGAGTGGCACGGGGCACATGCTCATTTCCTCCAGGGAGCAGCATTATACTCTTAGCATACCTAGGTAGGCTGTCCACTTTTGCAAATGGACAAGCAAGTGTGTCTTGTTTGGGCACTTGACATCAATTCTTGTCAATGGTTGCTGCTTCCTGTTGAAACCCCAGAGAGACTGTGTTTGACCTGACGTATCAGTGCTGGGCCTTCCTGTTGAGGCCTTAGTTAAACAAGGTATGGGGATGCTGTGGTAGACTGTCACGAATGTGTGACAGGCAGAAACTTGTGAACACGTGTGTTTCTTAGGTTCGTCATCTCTTGTTAAGACTAGGATAAGTATTCCACGGATTAGGCTACCTCCTTTGAATTTAGTCTCAAAGATCATTTACTACAGAAAAATTCGAGTCCATCTTAGGAGTGAGAAGCTAGTGCAAGAACCGTATGCATAGGTGTGACCAATTTTGCTTGGTGTGGTAACAGCTAACAACCTCTGCTTTTTCTAAGTTGTTGCTGTATTTAATCTCAAGCAGTAAAATGGCTAATGTAATTTTTTTTGTTATGTTATTCAATTCTTACAGCTTTAAGATGCAAAATTTTTATTTATTTCAAAAATGCCCCTCCCAAATAAATTCAGATTTCAGAGTACCCAAGCTATTTAGAAATAAATTAATTCCCTTTTTTGAGGCTCAAGAGGAATTAAGTGTGCATTCTAATTGTGACTGGCTCTAATGAATGCATCTCCTAACCTCTCTGGGCCTGTCTGCTCCTTTTGAAAATGGAGAACTGATGTGGAAGGAGAGAATGCTAGGAACTTCACAACAGATGACTTTCTGAAGCATGAGAATGACCGGGGGTGGGGAAGGGATGAAAGGTGGGCGGCTCACTGCAGAGGTGGGTGCCACCGGCATTTGGCGGGTCTGGACCAGAGATTCCGGCATCCCCACAGTTCCTGGGTGGTGTTGAGTGACCCGCACGCAGGGCCAGGAGCAGCGCCCACTCCTGCCCTGGCGCAGGGACAGAGGCAGCCGAGAGCCTGCCCTCTGTAGGAGACATGCCCAGGGCCCCGTCCGTGCTGAGCGCCGGGGAGGACAGGCCTGTGTCTCTGCCCTCGGGGCACTTGGCTCAGTTGGAGAGCAGGTGCAGATGTACCTACTTTGGACCTGAGACAAAGGGCAGCTGCTGAGCTGAGGGTGGCCTGCAGAGTGCTGCCCACTGGGCTGAGGCCCCGGCATCCCTCTGCTCTTTCTGTTGGCTCAGCAGCCTTGGGTGGGTTAAACTCTTGAGTAATTTCTCTCTCTGTAAAATGGGTGACAGCCCCTGTGAGGTGCTCCTAGGAGAAAACACTAGTCATGTGTAAAGTGCCCTGTGCTGTGTGTGCTTAATGTGGGGTGGGAACCAGCCAGGGAGCGCCTCACAGCCCTGCCCTCTGATAAACAGAATGGTACCTTGAAGATTATTGACAGGAAAAAGCACATATTCAAACTGGCACAAGGAGAGTACATAGCACCCGAGAAGATTGAAAACATCTACCTGCGGAGTGAACCTGTCGCTCAGGTGTTTGTCCACGGGGAGAGCTTGCAGGTATGCGCGCCCTGGGCTGCTGCTCCGGGGGCTTTCAGTGCAAAGGGGAGTTTGCCGTGTGTGGATTGACTCTCATGTAGGACGTGCTGGCATAATGTGGGCACATTATTGGTTCTTGCTGCTTGGCATTCTGATCCAGAAAAGCCTTTTCTCTTTAATTTCCATATTTGTATTTTACATAGAGTGGTCTAGTGTACCCAGGGAGGTTGGATAAAGGCACTACAGAGTGGGCGAAACATGCTTCTTATTTAATTATCAGGAAAATGTTCATATATGGGTCATAAGAAAGTTAACAATTTTCTAACTTAATAATAAACCCAATTTATTTATACTTTGCCTCCTAAATCATTTTTGAGCAAATGGTTGCAAACCACATATACTTAAGTTGAAAACCAAGGTCTGTATTGTAGCAAAACATCTATTTGCCAAAATGCTGGACAGGTGGTGGCAGGGAAGAGAAGGGGGTCTGGTTTCCTGAAAGTCAATATTTTCATAAACCTTGAGATTTAAAAATAATTTCAGAAGAGTATTTTTCTATCTTAGTAGAGAATGCATCTATATTTCTTTGGGACGGTGCCTATTTTTCTTTGACCTAGAATCTTACCATGCCTTTGATTTTTTTTAGTTTTATTGTTACTAAATTATAAAGGACGAGGTATCGGAGATTTTTGAAAAAATGAATTTGTATACATTTTCTTTTTTTTAAGCAGTTTTCTGTTACCTATCACCTTATTTGCTTATCTGACCCTGTTTTATTTTTTCTTAAATGTACCAAAGGCAAAAAAAAAAAAAATGAGAGTTTTTTCGATTTTGATTTCCAGCGATTCTTTTGAAACATTTATTGTAAAATTCCTGATGCTGTCTCTATTTTAGAGCCAGGCATTCTTAACCTGGCCTTGGTGGTCTCCTGGGGCTGGTAATATGCTGTGAAAACACAGTCTATAACTTCCGTCAGATTCTCCCAGGGGCCGTAGTGCACAATGATAAAGAAGCACTATTTCAGAACATCTGGATCAAGACACACAGTAATTGACTTGTCTGTGTTAAAGGCATTTCTCATAGCAATTGTGGTGCCAGATGTTGAGACATTATGTTCCTGGGCCCAGAAGAAAGGATTTGAAGGCTCCTTTGAAGAGCTGTGCAGAAACAAGGTAAGGTCGTGGAGCGCGTGGTGCCGTCTGCATCTGTGCTTGGCATGAAGTGTCCCTTCAGACCTCCAACACAGGAAGCCTATTCTTTTCTTAACCTCATTAGGATGTCAAAAAAGCTATCCTAGAAGATATGGTGAGACTTGGGAAGGATGCTGGTCTAAAACCATTTGAACAGGTAAGACTTTTCATCAAATTCCCATAAAACAAGTTTTTGACTTGAAGGTTTTTATATGACTAGATTCTAGAAGAAGATGCAATGACTAGAAGAAGACCATGAGGAATAAATGCAGTTGGCCCTTGAACCACATGGCTTTGAACTGTGTGGGTCCACTTATACATGGGCTTTTTTCAATAAATTATGTTAGCAAACCTTTTGGAGATTTGTGACAATTTAAAAAGTTTCTTTTCTCTGGCTTTGTTATAAGAATACAGTATATAAGACATATGATGTACAAAACGTTAATGAACTGTTATGTTCTCACTAATAAGACTTCTGACCAACAGTAGGCTATTAGTAGTTAAGTTTTGGGGGAGACAAAAGTTATACACAGATTTTTAACTGCACAGGGGGTCAGTGCCCCTAATCCCTCTGTTATTCAAGGGTCAACTGTAATGGAGTGGTTTGGTGGGCAGAGGATTTCTTTAACCAGGGGTAGGAATTCTCTTTTTCTGGAGATCAGGATATAAATATAATCACAGATGCATTCCTGGGATCAGGCCCCTGGCCTGTGTTGAGGGAGTGCAGCTGGCCAGAGGCCATAGGAGGGATGGGACCCCCCATAAGGGTCTTCATCCCCTTTGGGGCTTAAGCATTTCTTAGACTCAGGTTGCCCCTGCCCTCTCTCCTCTGTTAATAGCTTTGTTTGTTTACAGGTCAAAGGCATTAGTCTCCACTCTGAGTTATTTTCTATTGACAATGGCCTTCTGACCCCAACAATGAAGGCTAAAAGGCCAGAGCTTCGGAGTTACTTCAGGTCCCAGATAGATGAACTGTATTCCACCATCAAAGTTTAATAGAAGGCTGCAAACTCAGAAGAAACCACCCACCTCCTTAGCTGACTTCTGCTGATGGCCTTCACGTTGGTAACTTTGACTGCAGCAAGCCTAGGGGAGGCAACGGCCGTGATTGGCGTGTGTGTTCAGGCTCTTGTCGTAGGAATATTAGAGGAAACAGACACTGCCTTACAGTCACCTCGTGCTGCAGACCATGTTTATGGTGATCTACAATTTCCAAAATGAGCCTTAAAAATTGCAAAGGGGAAACTATAAATGTGCTAAGTTATTTGCAACTTCCTCAATTAAAAAGGCAGGTGAAAACCTCCGTCTCCCTGCTTTTCTAACCAAGGAGTTAGGACTTTGCTATTTCTGAGATGCCTACTACTTGCTGCAAATTCTGCAGTTGTCTGCTGCTCTGAAGAGTACAGTGCACTGGAGGGAAACTGTCCCTTAGAAACAAGAACCGTCTCTGCTGAAGAATGTCACAAGTAGACCAGAGATTTTTTTGTAATCCCTGTCACCTTCCTTTCCCCACCTCACATGTGTCCTGACAGCCCATCCGATGAAGGGTTATAGAAACTCAAGCCCTTCTCCTCAGTTCCCTGGTGTCCCGTTGGAGCAGAAGGTCCCCAGTGAGGCCAAGGACAGACCCAGCTCAGCGCAGTGCAGATATTGAGTCTCGGCTGAATGGCTGCCCGAGCCAGTGGATTTGGGCACCCACTGAGCAGTATGTTCTCCTACCCTCTTCTCCAGACCTGATTTCCTCCCTCCATCTCTTCCCAGGGGTTATTTTAAAAATCTGCCTTAGACTCTACAGTGAAGACACACATTACAAGAAGGAAATACTTACCCAGATCCACCATACTCAACTGTGATGCCTAAATAACTCTCCACTTTATCTTCACAGAACCACTCATTCTGTTTGTGACAGCCAACGGATTTTTAATGTGGTTTTCCTAGCAAAAGATCATGTTGTGATTAACTGGCCTTTTCCCCCAGAATAAACACTCAGGCAAGGCATGTCTTTAAAAATATTAAGGGAGTAGATAGACTCCGGTACTTACTGAAATGGACAGTAATAAACATGCTCTTATAATGCTGCCTGATTTCTATGAAATGTGTTTTGAGAAGCCAAATCCTAGGATGTAGAAATCTAGAAAACTCATTTTCTAGCATTCATTTCTTGAGAGACTTTTTTTTAAAAGTTAATTTGGGAAATCAGTGGCATTGGACTTTACTGCAAGTCTTTGCCACATAGGACTGAATTAAGTTGTCATTTATACATTTAAAGCAATTGTTTTGGGATCTGTGAGAATACGTGTATTATCCAAGCACAACAGGTTTGCACTAAAGAATTGTCATTGTAATAACACTATTTCGGAGCCTAACTCATGTGTATTCTTAATTGCACAAAGAGTCAATAATTTGTCACATTGGGGTTTTGAATGTTTGCTTTAAGTGTTGGCTATTTCTATGTTTTATAAACCAAAACAGAATTTCCAAAAACAGTGAAGGAAACCAAAATAAATATTTCTGCATTTCAAGTGAGTGATGCCTCTCTTTTCATGTCCAGTGTAATACTGGGGATGGCTGAGATGCACAAGCCAAGAGCGGGAACGGCCTCGCCTCGGCCCCTTGCTGCTTCCGCCCTCCCAGGTCCTCTTCCTCTAGAGCCATCCTGTCACGTGCAGAAGCTGCCCGGGCCTGCGGACTCTGCCATGGAAAAGAAAATCATGGTACGACTAATAGGATGTTCTTGAAATGCATATTCTTTGCCAGAAAGCTACATTTCTGGAGACCCTGGCTTCTGTCGGTGGCTCTGGGATAGATTTAATTCTGCTGCACTTTGGTAATTGTTTTACTGTAGAACTGTTTTAGAAGACGTTCCATTTATAGCTGCTAACTTTTTTTCTTTCTCTGTATCCCTGTCCTACGCTACCATTTTAAAGGTTCCTTTCCCATAGGTGCTAATTAACAGACAGGGCCTGTCGTGCTTCAGTCAGTCAGCCAGCCTCGCCCCCCTCCCTTCGCCCCTCCCGTAAGTCCTGTGTCTGGCGTGGTGACACGTGGTTTTTTCCTCTAAAGCAGAGCGCTGTGCACACATCTGCGGTAAGGCTCCTAATCGATTCTGCCTTTTAATTTTAGTTTCTAAACCCCTTATCCTGTGTCGGCTCATCTCCCCTTCCTCTTCCTTTGTTCCTCTCACCGGGGAAGTGTGAACTTCTTGACATAAGGCGTTACCTTTCTTTGCCCTCCATTAGCAGCACACACAGAACTTACAAACTGGTAGGTATTCCTGAAATGAATCTCCTTTGAACTGACACTTGGAGTTTTCAACAAACCTTCTCTTGCAATGAGATTGATATAAACACTGGGTTTTTTTTCCTTTTAAAATAAATTGTAAAATACACATAAATGCATTCTCTTAATCATTTTTACGTGTACAGCTCAGTGGTGGGAAGCATGTTCACACTGCTGTACACCCATCGCCACCGTCCACAGAGCTCTTTTCATCTTGCAAAACGGAAACTCCATTCCTATTAGACCCTGACTCCCTATCCTCTGCCCCCCACCAGCCCCCGGCACCCACCATTCTTTCTGTTTCTATGCATCAGGCTGCTCTGGGTGCCTCAGAGAAGTCAATCATACAGTGCTTGCCCTTTTGTGTCTGGCGTATTTCATCCAGCATAACGACCATGAGGTTCATCTGTGTTGTAGCACGTGTCAGAATTGACTCCCTTTTTTAAAGCTGAATAACATTCCATCGCATGTGTAGACACATTTTGTTTATCCAACTCACCAGCTGATAGACATGTGGGTTGCTCGTATCTTTTAGCTATTGAGAATAATACTGCTACAGACATGGGTGACAAGCATCTGTTTCAGTCCTGGCTTTCAGTTCCTTTGGGGACATACCCAAACGCAGAATGACTGGGTCAAATGGGAATTCTATGTTTAATTTTTTGAGGAACTGTCCTACTGTTTCCTACAGCAGTTGCACCATTCTACATGCTCACCAGCAGTGAATGCACAAGGGTTCCAGCTTCTCCACATCCTCACTATTACTTGTTGGTGTCTGTGTTTTTTTATAGTAACCATCCTAAAGGGTATGAAGTGGTGTCTCACTGTGGTTTTGATTTGCATTTCCTTAACGATTAGTATGGTGGAGCTTCCTTTCATGGGCTTCTTGGTCATTTGTGTATCTTTGGAGAAATTGTCTATTCAAGTCCTTTGCCCATTTTTAGAAATTGGGTTGTCTGTTCTTGAGCAATTGGTGTTCTTTATATATTCTGGATACTAATTCCTAAACAGTGTCTTCAGTTCTTACCTTTCATGCTGCACTGTTGGGGTCAGCACCTCCTCAACAGCAGTACATACACAATGGCACTCCATCCCACAAATCAATACTACCCTCAGAAGCACGGTGGTCTCCGTCTCAAACCCTTCTCCCACCAGAACAGAAAAGAAGAAATACAGTAGACTCAGCATGAGGCGGTGCTCTCTGCTCTCCAACCCTCTGTGTGCTAAGCTGCTTTCAAGAACTGCTGAGTAGAACAGACTCTCCCGTGGGGCCTGAGTGAGGCAGCGGGCACGCAGGGCACTGCTGACCCAGCAGCCCTCAGAGCTCGTCTTGCACCCCTGCCCCCCAGGCCCCAGCCGAGACACACCCTTACTCTGTATCTAAACTCCAGAAAGCAGTTTGTTTTTAAGTAGATTTGGTGTGTGTGTGTGTGTGTGTTAAATATTTTTGCCTCACTCCCACTTTTTAGATTACTTGGAATAATAACAGCCAAAATGTATTGAAAGTTGCCGCACGCCACCCACTATTTGTAGCATTTGACACAGATGACATAGATGCTACGTTTGCAGCCCTTTGAGCCAAATGCTACTGCCGTCTCTGTTGTACAAAGGGGAACTCGAAGCACAGAGGTAGTTTGGTCAGTGTCCCACACAGACACAGCCGGAGCTGGGCAGTCCAGCTCTCGACACTGAGCTTCCAACCTCAGGCTGTGGAGGTTTCTTGTCTCCCTTTGGCAGTGAATTTCTTGGCAAAACTTGTCGTTCGATTATTTCTTGGTACGAGCAGTTCTGCCTCTAAGCTCCAGTATAAATGGTTTATACTTCCCAGTGGTTGTGGTTCCTACCTACACATTGTCCTTTGTCATAACAGGGGCTAATACCACGTCACAGAGTTTTGTTCTGGTTTTAGGGCTTATCAGAAATTACATATGGTTGCTCTCTGTGACGTTGGTAACCCCGAATCCATCAAGGACCAAAACTTTGGTAGACCCAGCCACTGTTGGGGAAGCTGTGTATGGCGGAAACTATGTATAAAGCTGGATCACAGACATAGGGCAGCTTCAGGAGATCCCGTGGAAGTTATGGAGGTGGTCAGAGCCACAGGTCTTGCGGATTTGAATGGGAAGTACACCATGCTGCCTTCTTTAATTGCTTCTCCTTTAATTCTCAGGTAATGGAGCCATACTTAGGTGTTTGCCATCAGCTAAGGGCCAGGTATGGTTCTGTGCTGTGAGGACGCAGTAGTGGGTGCAGAGACAAGATCCTTGCCCTGGAGAAGCTTGCTTTATAACGGAGAGAGCTGGACAATAAACCAGAAAGCGAATGAACAAGATTGTGATGGGTGCTTGGAAGAACACAGTGAATAGAGTATTGGGGAGGGGCCCACGAGGGCCACTTTCAGTTGTGGTCAGAGAAGGTCTCTGAGTATGTAATCCCTGGGGTGATAACCTTAAGAGTGATGAGGAACCAGCTATGCAAAGGTTTGGGGAAAGAATTTTCAAAAAGAAAAGAGTGAGTGCAAAGGCCCTGTGGTGAGAGGGAGAGCTCCTAGGAGCTGAAAGGAAGGCAGTGTGGCTACAGCATCCTAAACAAGGGGAAAGAGCAGTACCAAAAGAAGCTGGGGAAGAAATAGGACCAAATGACCAGGCCTGCAGCCCAGAAAGGAATCTGGAGCTTAGTCTGGGTTCAGGAAGGAACCGATGAAGGATTCTGAGGCAAGGAGTGACATTCCCTGAACTGCCCTTTTGAAAAACAACTTCTGACTGCAGCAGAGGATCCATCCAATCAGGTCAGATAAGCATAGTATGTGACAGCAGCTAGGGCCAGTTTGAGGAGAGCAAATTTAAAAGTGGTCAGAGGGAGAATCGCTGCAGGTAGGGGGTCAGGGGAAGGGAGCGCTCGGTGGCTGTGCTGCTAGGTGGACGCTGAGATGGGAAGACTGCGTTGGTTTGCTGGAGGGAATCAACAGGTTGGGTTTGGGCAGTTTCTATTTGATGTGCCTGTAAACCAGCACGTGAGACAGAGGTGAGTGAGGCTGGAGATAACGGAGTGGAAAGCCAACGACATCCAGGAGGTAGAGAAGACATCAGGGAACCTGGGGAACCAGGAAACCTGCATAGGAAACAGAGACGGTCCCAGAGCGAGCCCTGGGGTCCTCGGTATTTGAATGGGAGATAAAGAAGGAGCCAGAAACCGGGATTGGAATTCCCTGCTATGGAGGAGCGGGGGAGACCAAGAATGTGGCGGCCATGAAGCCAACAGGGGGAAGTGTTTTGGGGAGGGAGGGGTCAGTGACACACGCCATTAAACGGTGGAATAAGGAGAGGACAGGAAACGCCCGCGGATCCCGCAAGGCGGCGACCTGGGCAATACCGGTCCAGCCGAGCAGGGAGGACAGAAGCCTGACTGCTGCGCGCTGGGGCCTGACCCGGGGGTCAGGAAGGGGGCAGAAGCTCCTCCTTGAGGTCTGAGCGGGATGGAAATCCCGCGGTGTGGCTGGAGAGGGGCAGTTGGGAGACTCGCTTCCGTTCCCTGGAGGGGGTGCTGTAAGGCGGGAGGTACCAGAGGCCGTGGGAAGCCCGGGATGCAGGGAGGGGAGAGGCTGCTGTTGGGGGGGCGGGGGGCCGCGGCCACCGACAGACATTTCCATGGGATGCGTCTCACACTGCAACAAGAGGGAAGACAGAGAATGTGGGGGAGACCCATGGCGACTGAGCTGGGAGGGAGTTTCTGTCTGAATGCTTGCTTTTTTTCAAATTTCATTTTAGTATCATCATCTTGTAGAGGAGGAAACGAGTCCTGGGATCAGCCTCCTTGTCCCACGAAGTGGCTGAGCTGGATGTGCTGACCCCAGGGCCTGTCCGTGCCTGGGTCACCTTTTCTGCTGTCCCCTCCCCTCCGCGGTTTATGCCCAGCACCCTGAGCATCCTGGGTGCCCAGTCAGTGCGCTGGGTGAGTTTTATGCAATCCTCAGGTACGGCCCAACTCCCTATTGCAAATCTGCCTACTTGCAGTGTAAGTCATGTCACAAGGTGGGGATGGAGAGTGCCACAGACTCTGGAATTTTCTTTTTGTCTGTTCATATTTCCAGTGATTGTTCCTTTTCAGGGCAATAGGAGCAGAAGAGAAGCCTGCCAGGCTCCCCGATGGCTGGGCAGAGCAGTGCAGAGGCCCTGGGCACCGTGAGAGGCGAGGGCAGCGGGTCTGTTACTCTGACCTGCCCGAGCCCCCCTCTCACTCCTCT